GGGAGGGGGGTGGACCCGCTGCTCTGCTGCACTATAATGAGGACCATCATTACGCGAGGCCCGAAGAGGGGCGTCCTCGCCGTCCTCACGCAGGGCAGCTCGCGGTGACCGATTCGTCTCGCCGACGCCCATGAGATCCACCAGCAACCAAGCACCAAACAACCAACCACACTGTGTTTTGAACTAATGGTTACAAACTGTTGTTAGCTTTTTCCTACAGTGCAATCAACCATGTCCGCGACCCAACCCAACCCAACCCTACCCGACCAACTAGCCCAACACAAATGCCTGTGAAAGGAGAGAGAGAGCATTCTTACTAAGATCCTCTGAACTTTTTTATTCATAGCTTACTGAGTTCTGTCAACATGCTCGGCTTACGCATTCTTTAATACGCTAGTATGAAGAATTTTGTTCATAATAGTGTATTATAAAATACGTAAGCCGATCATGTTTACAGAACTCAGTAAGCTATGAATAAAAACGTTCATGAGATTTTAGTGCGTAGGGCAGTCAGCTGATAGTGGCCTATTCCTTGCGAGCAGTGCGAGTTGAGAGAGGATAGTGTTTATTTATCTCAACAAGAAAGTATTTTCGAAGCGAGCACTTTGTCATCCTAGCCGCACTCTCGCGCCTCTAGGCGATGCGCCAGGTGTGCGCGGCGGGGCGGCGCGCGGCGCCCTCGTGTGCGAAGCGCGACGCATTCCAAGCAGCCTGGCAGGGCCTCGGCCAAGGCCTCGGCCAGGGCTTGGGCGGCTTGAGCTTGAGCGACCAGCTGGCAGGGCCAAGGAGGGACTCATTAGGGCCCTTAAAAGGAGAGCAGGCGCGCGTCCTCCGGCCCGGCCGGGCCCGGCGGTGCGTCGCGACGCCCGAGCGACGCCCCGCTGCCTGTCCCTGTCCCTGCGCGAGGACGGCGCCGCGGCAGAGCGTCGCCTTGCTGCTCAATCACTTTGGCGCTGGCGGGATTATCATATCGAGTTCTCCCCGCGCGTCATAACATTTTTATAGTCTCGTTTCGAAACGAAGAAAGTCCGTCCCCCCTCTCTCTCGCCGCGCCTCCTCGTCCGCCACTCTGTTTCTCTGCTTGACACTCTCTACTGCTGCCGGGCCCCGCGGCTCCCTCTCGCCGCCCGGTGTGATTGATGTGCGCGCGAGCTGCACTCCCCGACGTGCGAATAGGCGGGCGTCATCCTGTACCTGGGCGCCACCGCCAGGGCGAGGGGAGGGCCAATAACGGATCTGTCGCTCCGGGCCAGTCCGCACCTCCACCTCATACTGCGGCTCCCGCCCCCTCTAACGATGCATGACTGGGCGCAAAAGAAAAGTTCAAAGATTTCGCGCGTCCTCTAGGCCCGGGCTCCGCAGTGCCTCGGTAGAGTGTGCTCCGCGGTGGCGCGCCTCCCGGCGGCCGCGGCAGCCCCAAAGTTCTTCGCGCGCGCGAGCGCGAAAATTGCCTCGTCGCGGTGCAATCATGTTATCTAAATGGAGTCCGGTATTTAAATTTCTGGGCGCAGTCGGAGCGTTTTGGCTGCCGATCCTACAGGAGGCTCTTCGTGCCGCGCGTGAGAGGCCCACTCCCCTCCCCTCCTCCAGCGGACCGGGCGGACCAGGCCAGCCTCTCGCGTATGCACAGCAGGACCCGTAGGCCCGGTCCGTCCCCCCGGTGATTAGCGGCTCATGGTGGAGGCGCTGATGAATGAGATCGCCCTCCGTCCTCCCTGGCGGCCCCGCCCCCTCTACACCCGCCCACGGGCACCGCCCTCCGGGCCCGAGGGAGGACTGGCTGGACTTGCTCTGGGGGCGGGGCGGGCGTGCCTCGGGGGTGGACAGCACCACGACGACGGCACTGGATGGTCCGCGGGGCGTGTCGAGTCGTCGTGGGGCAGAGCAGAGTCCTGGACACGACGAGCCGTGGTGCTCAGCACGACGGCGCCGCGGCCGCGCCCCGTCCGGGTCGGCCAGAGAGCTCTGTGCGCGCCGATTGAGTCGTTGGCTCCTCTGCTCACCTCACGGCGAGCCTCACGGCGCGCCAATCGGACTGTGTGCGCCATAAATTAAACCCGCGGCTGCCAATCTGTCCGCGCCTCGCCGAGCCGGGGCGGGAATTTGGTCCAGCCGGCATGAGGCCGGCCCAGCCAGCAGCGGCGGCACCGCGACCGGCACCCGTTACACGACGCATCGCGCCAAGGCTGCGGGGCGGGGCGGGGCGGCCGCGCCGAGCTAATTAGAAGACCGGCGTACATCTGGGCTCTAATACCGCGGCACATCAGATGGCAGCGCGAGTGCGGAGCGCCTCGGCGAGCTCGGCCCCCCTGCGACTGCCGCCGGTCGCAGCCGGTCCCTCCCCGGGAGCAGAGAGGGCTGCCCTCATCATTTCGATAATTTTTTTTCATCATCTTTTCCCCTTATTTATACTTTCTCACCGAGATTGGCTGGATAGTTGTAAAGCAATGAAGCAGGCTGTCGGGCGTCCTTTCAATTTCTACGCTTATGGAAGCGCTCTATTCCGTCGGACAACTAACCGCGAACAGGCAGTTGGCAGTTCGTGTGTCTTTTCTTTGAAATTCCGATACAGGTGCCTGTAAACGTCTTGGCACAATATCTCTCTGTGCTGCCAGTCCCACCGCACTCTGCGCGCAAATAGACGAGAAAGAGAGAGAAAGAGAGAAAGAGATGCTGTAGCTGGAGCAGCGCCCTCTGGCAGCCAGACAAGGCGCGCAAATTTACACGACAGTTAGTTTGTTCCACGCAGTGCGGAACGTATTTGGTGTGTTTCCTACTCGTTTCCCACGCCTGTTGCCCCGGCGAGGCGTGGCGGGGCTTAGCTTCGCGGTGCGTGGCGTGGCGGGGCGTGGCTGGGATGTGATGACCGAGTCCTGGAAGGCTCTTCTCGGACGGCAGACAGATTGGTCCGGCTCCGAGCAGCGCTGCGGCCTATGCTCTTCACCTGCCACGCCACGCCACTCCCCGTCTCGCTGTGCCCTGACGCGAGAGGCAAAACGAAACGGAAACTGGATCGGCCCGCAATATCTTGAGCTGTGCAGCGAGCACCGCTGTGCTCGGTGTGGTGCCAGCGCGACGCCAGCGCGACGCCAGCGCGGCCGGCGCGTCCTCCATGTTTGGCAGCAGGACGGCGTCCTCTGCTCCGGGTCGCAATGCGGGCCCGCGCGAACGGACACCGCGCCGCTCGTAACAAACGCATAAACAATTTTTGTCGTCCACTTTGCCCTACTTATAATTCCCCGTTTCCCTGTTGCAGCCCCAGGTGTTCACACTCACATCCCTCGCCGGCGTGCGGAGACGGCAGGACTTGGGACAGCATGGCGTCGAGGACATGATTCAGCTCTCGTAAGTGAAACGTGAACTTGGCCGAAACTTACAGCTGGCGTAGAGGTGTTGGAAACTATCAAGTTTCAACAACTTTCATTTGCAGGGATCTCAACGAAGCATCTCTACTATGGAACCTCAAAATAAGATACGACAGAGAACTAATATACGTAAGCAAAACATGTGTATTTGAGGGTACCAACCCCGCGAAAAGTAAACAAACAAACAGTTAAACTTCCATTGCTGACAACTGACCGCTACCTCTTTCCGCAGACTTACACGGGGAGCATCCTCGTGGCGGTGAACCCGTACAAAATGTTCGACATCTACGGCCTGGACATGGTGAAGAAATACGAAGGACAGATTCTTGGCACGCTACCTCCGTAAGTTTTACGATCTTGTTGGGCCCCGGGCCGGGCTGCCGCTGCCGCCGCCGCTCATAATGGCCCCAAAGGGGCGCGTGCCAATCCGGATCACGCCGCGGCGACGCAGGCTTCTTCACGATCATGACAAAAAGGAAACTGCTCTCCAGCATGTTCTGAACCGCACTACTTTTGTTCTTGTTGCAGTCACCTGTTCGCCATCGGCTCCTCGGCCTATGCGCACCTCAGCAAGGAGGGCGAGCGCCAGAACCAGGTGGTGGTCATCTCGGGCGAGTCCGGCTCGGGCAAGACCGAGTCCACCAAGCTGGTCATGCAGTACCTGGCGGCCGTTAACAAGTCACCCTCCAACCTCATCACGGAGCAGATCCTCGAGGCCTCACCGCTGCTCGAGAGCTTCGGCAACGCCAAGACTGTGCGCAACGACAACTCGTCGCGCTTTGGAAAGTACCTCGAGGTTCACTTCAAGGAGGGGGTCATCATTGGCGCCAAGGTGACCGAGTACCTGCTGGAGAAGTCGCGAATCGTGACGCAGGCTCAGGACGAGCGCAACTACCACGTCTTCTACGAGATGCTGACTGGCCTGACGGCCGAGCAGAAGCAGAAGTACGGGCTGCTCACGCCGGAGAAGTACTTCTACCTCAACCAGGGCGGCAACTGTGAGATCGACGGCAAGTACGACAGCGAGGACTTCCAGTCCCTGCTGTCGGCCATGCAGGTCCTGGGCTTTACCATGGACGAGCAAGACAACATCTTCCGCATCCTGGCCTCGGGTGAGTATGATCGCTTTATCGTGACCTGAGCTAAGGGGCCCCTGCTGGGTATGCAGACCCGCAGGACACCTGTGTCCGGCGGGTCTGCCTACCGAGCAGGCGCTTTTCAAAGCGCTGACTGACTGACCTCCGATCTCCTCGCAGTGCTGCACCTCGGCAACGTGTACTTCCACCGCAAGCAGCTCAAGCACGGCACGGAGGGCGTGGAGATCGGGTCGGACGCGGAGATCCGTTGGACGGGTCACCTGCTGCAACTCAACGTGGACGGCATCAAGCGCGCGCTCACCACCAAGACGACGGAGGCCAGGAACGAGCGCCTGCTTACGCCGCTCAGCATCGACCAGGCGCTGGACGCCAGGGACGCCTTCGCCAAGGCGCTGTACAGCGCGCTCTTCTCCTGGCTCGTGCAGCGCATCAACAGCATCGTGTTCAAGGTTGGCTTTTCTCGCGAACCCTGCAACTCGCTCTAACAGGCCCGCAAGCTTCGTATTACTAGCCAGGACCTTCGGTCCTTATGCTGATCTCGCCTCTCTCTCTCCCTATATATATATATA